TTTGAATTTGCATAATATGTTTATGATCAAATTGAAATAATGTACAAACTAACATTATTTTAATGAGTTGTCTCACAGTGGAGCAACAACGAAAAACTGTCCGACGCATCACGTGTCCACCGTTTCTTATTGGAATATAATAAATAATAGCCGAAAATTTAGTTAAAATGCCCCAGCACAGCGTGCAGTCCGGTAACTCATAAATCAAATATTGTTGCGACTTCTTATACATCGGTTGTGTAAACACTAAATATGAAACCTTACGTTTTTTTTTTCAGATTATCTTTTATTATTATCGTGTTCCAAATTATACAAAATATTTTATGAAATCATCTGTCATTTGTAGCGATAGAAATTGTAGTTTCGTATATATAGGAAGTACCAGTTTATATTAAAATATTAAAACGATGTTATGGATTATAACCTATTTAAAGTAAATACTCACAATTCAAATAACAAAGTTAAATGGGGAACCTAGCTATTTAAATGAATTGTAATAAAAAAATATGCTATAATCATTGTTTCGCAATCAAGTCAAAAAATATATACTAAAAGCCATAAGCCATATATTATACAAAATTCGTGTAGGTCCCTATACTGTTAACTTTTAAATACCCCCCCCCCTAATGTAATTAAAACAGCGATTATATCATATATTTAATACATATAATTTATGTGAATACCTACCCAAATAAAAAATTATAATTTAATCTTATTTTAGATTTTAAGAATCTTCGATGTAAAATGTCTATTCATGATTATATAATTAAATAGGTAATAATATTTATTCTTGCATTCCTATGGATTAATAAATGTTATACATTATATTATGTATATATATTAATTTGTTAGTAATACCTAATTCCACATTTTTTGACTAAAGAAATATCTTTTTATATGTTTGTATAATAATTATCCGTTTATATGGTTGGATAATATTAAAACAACGATGCTCATATTTTTAGTTAAAATATTTTACTAAAAAAAATATTTATTTTATGACATTACAGTAGATTGGTCGTATATAAAACAAATAATATACCCAACCAACCTAGATTTATCTCATCGTCGAGAATCTAAATAAAAAGATTATTAATTGTCAAAACAAAATAAAAATTAACTAACGATATCATATACAAGCACTTTTACAGGCGATGATCAAGAAGCGTCGCCGAATCGAGAACAGGTTGTTGGAGAAATAAATCCTATGCCCCCCCCCCCCAAGCACTAAACGCCACGTATCCCGTCGAGAGGCGCCATTTAGTCATACACTCCAGCAGCGTTCAGCCACGAATATTTGTTTATAATCTATCCTATCACTCCTTCCCTGGTTCTATATTATTCGTAAAGCTTATTTTACTTTTGTATTTAAAATAAATATATACATAATATATATGCATATCAATAACCTACAATATCTCATCGTAAATATTACCACGTTAATTAATAACATAACGTTACCCCTTATACATTCATACATATTATACAAGCATGTTCCATGTACCAAAAACGTTGCTATTATATTTGTTTGTGCTTCGCAATTTCCCATAAAACGTATTATAGCCTGCAATTTAACATAATATTTTACCCGGCGAGTGAAAATATATTTTTTCAGGTTCAACCTGTATTTTAGTATAGGTCCGCATATATGTGCACAGTACAGCGTATACCTAGACTAAGGCTGACAGCGAACGAATTCGATTACACACAACGGATTTCTAGCACTATTAAATATTATTATTATTATATTGTGTTAGATATAATATTATACATTGGACGGCCCCGCGGCGAGAAATTAAATACACATCGTTACAACTATTGTACACATCTACATATATTACCCATATCAATCGTCTATTTTGTTTTTTAAAATTTATTTCAGTTATATATTATATTCATGCAAACAGCGATGATTCATCACGCCGCGCTCTTTTAGAATTATAAGCAATTGCGATTTGGCTATTAATTGGTATACTATGTGTGGACCGTTTTTACAAAAACTGTCCGCAATTATTTGTTGAATGTTCGATTAAAAATAATACGTATTTTCATCGTTGAATAAATATTAAATATATTATCACTATAAACATGCGAGTATAATTACCTCACTAAAAATCTACATTTTTCCAATTTGGCGGTGAGAATATCGTTGAGTTTTAATTAAGAGGTCATTTTTTTTGTTAAATACGGTTTTATAAAAACGTTTATTTCAGTTTTTGCAATTTAAATTATATATAGACACCGCGGTTATCATGTAAAATTTATTATCCGTGATTATTGCAGTAATTATTAAATCTACGTTTTCGAATTTAATACCGAAAACGGTACAGACTCATTTAAACTTGCAAGCACACTTGTACTTATATTGACGGTACAGCTGGTACTCGTGGAAAAATCGTCATTTTAATAGAAACAACTTTTTAAAAAATCTTTAAAATTCTATTGATCTCAGAAAAAGTGCGATGAGCTAAGATTATAAATGCAAATAACTGATATTACAGTTTTGAATAAATACGCAATATAACCAATGTCGGTTTTCGTAACAGAACCTCTCTTCGTGTAGGTATAATATCTTGTTAATATCAATTCCGTTTGCCAGGGTACACAAATCGTAGATAAATCTTTAAAAAGCTAGCCGACGGCGATGGCTGATATTTTCGTACATAAATGGGTATTTTTTTACTTCACGGCTGTCGTCCAATCGTCAGACAATAACGAGGCTAGGCGTAAAACTAATTAGGTATAGGTAATCTGCTTAATGTTTTTCGTCTCTCGTTCGCTGCTACTCGGCTTCGTCGGTCATCTGTATTTGTACAACTTCGACGCGGCCTGCAGTATAATAGGAGTCCGTTGTTTACACTCAAAATCGCGGCTGCCTCCACAGGAGCGACACGCATATTAAAATTCAGTCTGTATTGGTCGTCTGAGACACTCGTATCGTAATTGATTCTACCGAAATATATAATATATACAAATGGGTGTGTGTGTGTGTGTGTGTGTGTGTGTGTGTGTGTGTGTGTGTCCAAACAGTAGTGTTTGACAGACACATGACGGTGGCCTCAAGTCATAATAGTATGGATAGTAACGACGAGACGAAGTATAGGCCTCTTCTCGATGCCCCGCTATTATATACTATTAAAGGTATAGACGTTTATAATATATATATATACCTAAATAGAATATATATTGAATTACAATAATTTCACTATTTATCATCGAACCCATATTTCCTGCGCATACGTGGTCTGATCGGACGATCGACCGCCGGTATATTGTATATAATATATATCTATTATTATACTATATAGGTATACGACGATGAGTTATGGCTATCGGATATGCAATAACCTATCAATATTTTACGTCAGTCAATTATTTATGTTTACCATTAGGTTTAAATACGGCTGGCGCATCACTCGCTGTTTTTATGGACACCACTGAATGGTTCACATATATCTAGCCAAGTATATATATATATACCTGCTGATATAAATACACGAGCACGCAGGAGCAATCCGTTTCGTTATGGAAAATGTTTAACAGTAGCTGAACTCGGATTTCTAAAATGCTACGAGTATTATTAATATAATATATAAGTAAACGTAGGTACCTTATATATATATATATATAATATGGGTACATGCGCATACGTTTAACATTTGTGTAGGCAAATTGTGTTACGTTGTATTTTTTTTTGATTTTCAGAACACGTTTTAGTGTTTTAGATTGTTAGTAGGTAAATTGATAAAAATCCCATGTATAAGTAATATCAATATTATTAATATAGTCGAAAGTAGGAATATCATAAGTAGTCCGTTTCTAAAATCCATAACCATGAATTAATGAAATGTGCGTGTATAATAATATAGACAATGCACTGATTGACGCAAATCCCCATAAAGATTAATGATGCTATTGGGGGTGCCAACTGTAGACTGCAGGTAGGTAAAAGTCTAGGTTTTCTTCCTATAAAAATATAATAATTTGACCATCTAGATTCGAATTCAATTATACCAAGATTCAGGGTATAAATGAACGGTTAAACACGATGTGTCGTTGAGTATTATCAATGCATTTTTAAAAATTCAACAAAATACCACTGAAAGTTTAATTGTGCAGAAAGGGAAGTTAAGTAATTTTCATATAATCGGCCGCTGAACAGCTGGTGTGTGTTATAAAACATTTTCAATAGAAGAATTAATTCGTGATGAAGTCCCCTGTAACATAATATATTGACAAACATAATGAACGATGGGACGTCCAATACGATCCATACAACAATGATCACCGAGAAAAATTTCTTCAACGTGCATGACATTGATTTATTATAGTTTTGCAAAGATCAATTTACATCAAAAATTGGTGTAGTTAAAGCATTTATATTTGTCCAAAACCAAGGCCGATAAGACTTGATTTATATTGAATGTACTTTACATTCTTTTGAATGTTTACAAAGTAAGCAGTAGGTACCTATAAACATATCAGTAGGTAGGTACTTATAAAATGAAAAAATATACATGTTCGTAAATTCGTAATCGTAATAAGGACAAAATAATCGATATCGTGTAAATTTGCCTTCATATTGTTTCAATTGTCTACCACGACCATGTTTATTAATCCACTTAGTGTAATTTGTATATACGTCAAATATACAATTTTCAGTATTATTTTATAACACTGATTAGTCCAATCCAAGTTCTAAATCCTAATACTAGACCTGAGTCAAACGGAACCTTCTAGCTGTTCAGTGTTTATAACATATTATAAAGATTGGTTAGGAGCTTAGGATGCATAATTTTGAAGGGCCAATGCCACAATAAGCATTCAACCGTAAATGTTCAAAGACCTACTAAATACGTTGTTAGGTATATGGTCATTGACTTCGTTGTACAATTGTACAATATAATATCTGAGGTCCATATGCGAATACTTGTTTGAATGCAAACAAACATACCTATCTATCCATCATGAATAAGCCAATACGTTTATACTTTATAGAATCAAGCACTTACCTCGGGATCGAGTTTTTTGAATTCAGGATCATCTTCGTCGACCTCAAAGTACAATTCTGCAGATGTTATGGACACTATACCAGGTGCAACAACTCCAGCCGATATTAACGACGCTCTTGTGCTGATGTTTACTGGCCCTACACGAAACAAACAATAACACTCTCTAAACTGATATAAAAAAAAAAGTAATATTCCAAATACGTGTATCCTAAAACACTACGTAATGCGTATTATATTCTTAAATAGATTTACCGCGAAATAAAAAATATATTATATAGAGGTATCGATGAGAGAGGGGAAGTGGTAGATGGCAGTAACATAACACAAGTCATATAGTGTCATACCTTTTAGATTTTATGTATAATATGTATTATAATATAAATATATTCTATAGGTTTATGCATAATATTATTATATGGCTAGTCGAATTTCGAGGTAAATATGCTAAGCAATGATGTTATCACTTACCAACGAGGTCAGCATCTAGTTCTCTGTCATCAGTCATTAGTTCTGAATCATCTAGTAGGTCGGATGACTGACTGCCCGGACCGCTTTGGGTGCTCATAGCCACCAGTTGAGCGTGAAAAACTTCTTCTCTGGCCTGAAATAACAACGAACACGCGTGGGTGTTAATCGAACCCAAACGAAATCCAGATAATAAAATGATGTCCGAATACCTGTAGTATTGCGTCCTGCGGTGCACCGTGTTCTAATGCAGCCTTTAAAGTTGCTTCCGGATGGGTCGTTCCCCGCGGATTGGGCACAAACCGTTTGCGCCGCCTAGCGTCGTCCTCCCACACGTCCAATTTCCAAAACTGAGACATTCTAAACGAACAGTGACGATGGTGTCCAGTGTGAACAACAATAATTTAACGTCGAATTCCATGCAAGGAAAACTACTGCTGTAAAGTACTTACCTTATGGGAATGTTCTCGTGTAGATAGCCCCAAGCACCGTGTTTATTGGACAATATGTTACAGATTTTGTCCAGAATGCGACTTGCGACCACGCTGTCGCGACGTCTCGCTGCCGTTATCAGGTGATCGCACATTTTCTCTTCTTCACGGCGTTCCAGCGTTGTCAGAGCACAGTGGGCCTAAAATATAAAATAAAATATAACAGAAAATTGTGTGGCAAGGGCGGCAAGTGAGCTATTTCAGTCGCGGCCCCATTAGACTGAAATTGCTTTCCCGCACGAGCCACACATACTATTTTTGTCACGCCTCTGCATTCATCGATCACGGCAAAGGTAATGCAGGGATCTATGCATCAACTAGACCATAATTCTACAACAGCAATATTTCATGAAAGAAACGATCTGATTTTATTTATTTTAAGCGTCGCGCATGGAGATTATAATATGAATATAAGATGTAACCAAAAGTTTATGTTGTGTCAGGACCGTGGTATAGATTTCAGTGTCTGATTGTGCGCCCAGCACTTTTGGGGATTTCCATTTTACCAACCGGCACTGTTGGGGATTTCCACTTTACCGCCCGGCACTTTTTGGGATTTCCACTTTACGCCAAGCAATGCCCTGTGTCCAACGTGAACGCGGCAAAAAACAAAACACCTTGATTTTCGCCACGTTTGGAACAGCATGGTCAGAATATAATTAATTTTATAATTTCGCGTTCACGTTGGACACAGCGTATAGGGATTCCCACTTTACCACCCGTTGAACGGAAAAAGGACGCTTTCCAAACGTTTCAACCGCTATCGAAAACCAAACTTTCGGTGCAGGAGTGACAAAAATAATATTTACTCCACAAACCACGAACCGAAATATTAAAATATTAAATAACGATAATATATTATAGGTACGAACTTCAAAATCGGCGTGTTTCAATACGTCATCAGCTCTCATCCTGTTCAATATGAATTCGGCTTCATTGGCTACGCGTACGATATGATCTTTCATGGCATGTGACAATAATCTAATAATAATAATATAAGCTACATGAAGTCATTGAGACTAAAAAAATTAATCAACCCTTATAATTCACTTACCGTCCTTCGTTAATGAGTTCGATAAAAGCAAGACCAGCGTGTTTTTGTAACGAATTTTGCCATTCCTGAGAACACAGCAACATTACTAGTTCGACGACCGACTGACTGTTTTTAAATGTCGTCAATCCTAAAATTAAAAATATATTATTATTAAATCGTATTTATTAATTTAATTCGTTTCGAATTATTGAGTGAATTCTTTCAGTTAATGATTTATTTATTAAAATTGAACCATAACGTACCTATATATATATTATATACATTTTAATTTATAGCAATGAATAAATTTGTTATTACCTAACTCATGTGACCATAATCACAATTTACGTAGGTAGGTACTTATTGATTAATAGAAAATGGGAAATATAATATTATTTAAAAAGTAAATGTAGGTACCTGTGCAGGTACAATGCATTTTAATGCGAATATATTGTAGTGGAATTAATGAAATATTATTTAGGTTTTTAATAAATTATGAATATAATATATTATTGTGTATATATTATGTACAATAATATAGGTACCTTTATCATTAATTTATATAGATGTACATGATAAATTTATTATTTCTTGAAGGAGATTGAGTTGGTTTGGTTTATATGACAGCAATAACATACTTTATTAATGTATTTATTGTACTAATTTTCTATATAAATAGCAGCAAACCGAATTCAATACAATTACCTTTGCCTTCCATTAGCAATTCTTGACCATGGGAACCGACAAGGGTCTTTGACAAAAACGGAGCAAAGTCGACCATTATTTCACGTAAAAGTGGGCACACGGAACCCAGTGCTGCTTCCAACTTGTGTGTAAGAGATGCCTCTCTGTTGGGCAAATGTGTCTGATGGGGCAAGTTTACATTTTTTAAGCCGAAATCTTCAACGTTATGCCCAGGGTTTTGCATGTTCAAGTTTTGCGTAGTCGATGTTGGGACATTGACCACGGATATTTCACTGAGCGGTTTGTCTCCACGTATATCTGCCAATAAGCACAGAAATTAATTTTTTTAATGAGCAAATTTCCAAATGTTAGATGAAAATATAAATAATAAATTAAAAAATTGCAGTGTTTGATATTGCCAAACAATTTTTGACATTTAGTTTGCTCTGCTAGTTAAATTAAAATTATAAACAACTTTGCAAATACCAGTTTTTTCTTTCATATTAATCAGCATTGCTTACATGAAAAACGAATAAAAAGACAATCGAGAGCAATGAGCAAAGATATAAAATTATTCATAAATCGTTATTTTTGTAAATCTTAATTAAATGCCAATAGAATTAGTATGGTTGCTGTTAATTAATATTATAAATGAATTTGTATATTGTGTATTATTTATACTATCGAATACATTATATAGCTAAATAGCTTGTATATCAGCGATCAATATTATTCTATCTAACCTCTATGAATTCTTCCATCATCTTCGTTGTTAGACTGAGAGTCCTCGTTAAGATTTACATCAGTCCAAGCTTCTTCATTATGAGCAGATGCTATGGTACTAGCTTTGACATCAGTATCATTGCTTTCAGCATCACTGCATGCAGCTGAGCTTGTTGATGCTAATTCTTCAGAGCATGTACTCTAAACAAGCATTGATAAAAAGTATGATTATTAGGTATTATTAGTTTATAATTTATATATATTCTTTAAATATTACAATAGTAAAATGTTATTGTTCCGAAGACCTGGATGACCAGTTAAATAAAATAAACATAAGCATAGGTGTGCTAAACAAACTAAAATATAAACAACACGTTAATCAACAGTGTCAAGTACCTATATGTATAATACATAATTTGTCAATCGTTGCTTTTGTGCATATTAATACCTAATTGTTGTGTTTCAAAAAAACAGTGTGTTATGGGTTGGCGCTCTAAGCCAGTACCTTTTTTGGAGCCAATATAGTTTTGTTATTTAAGACATTACGGCGATAGCGTAAGTTATAATTGTTGAACGATGTTACTGGTGGAACTCTGAGCAGTTGCTACACAAATGAACATAAAACAACACAATAGAACAATATTCCACATTCTTGACAACAATTATGATTTATGACACAATTGATAAATATTATAATTTATAACCAATAAGTACTAACACAAAACACAGTCCCTAGGCAAATATTATGTGCTTTTTTAAAATTATTAAAATTATTTAAAACATTGAGTTTTATTGAAAAGTTATGATTCAAAGAACATTTTATTGACAACAAGTGTACAAGCATTGAGAGTTAGTAAGTTACCTAAACTAAACAAAATTAATAACAATTAATATTGTCACATTTGTAAAAAATGAATAACATTCACAAAATATGTGATGCTTCAAATTCAATAATGCAAATATTGAATACCATTTTTAAGATAAAATTGGTTAAACAGGTACTTCAAAATATGTAAGATTGTAAGATGGTATGCTCTTAGTACTAAGAGCATATACATTCTATTGTTAACCAGTGGATGACAATGAAAAAAAATAATAATAATTAATTTACCTTGTTGCACGGGATACTTGGCACTTGTGAAGTATGATTTAAATTATCCATTGATGTCATCATCATATTATAGTCTTCCTCATCTGCTGAAACAAATTTGTATGATTTTCATAATATAACGTAAATTTTCATGTACATTGTAATTGACATGCCATCTATTTCTAATGCCAGTTAAACAAACCAAACGAACCGATTTTTTTAATTAATTGGACATTTTGGAAATTAAACACGCATACTACCCTACTGTAAAAATGTAAATTGATTCCATGCATGTCAAACACAACTAGTAGTTAAATAAAAATGTAACATAAATATTGTATTACGAATTGCATTGAATAATCAATAAAATTGAAAGTATTAGTTGATTTAAACTCATTATTATATTAAAAATAAAGTCAATAAACTGAACATTACAATTAATAAGAAATAATATGACATTTTATAAGAGAAATGCTATAGAATTTAACATTAATATGATTAACATATTTGGTGTGTTTAAGTATATTAAAAGAGTAATTATGTAGTTTTTTCTTTTTTTAAATACTAACTAATTATAAATTTCCTTTAACGTGTTTAAACAACGTTTGATATAAAATAAAATATAAGGACATTATTTTTTCAGTACATTTTAACAGTATAATGCATATAGATTATACAACAAACACATACTAAATTGATATATTATAAAGGTTAAATCAGTCTTTTCAAATTCTGTAATTGACATAAATAAATATTTACAAGTCCATACACTTTGGAAATATTATCTATAAATAACAATATTTTAGGCACCAATAAAAATTTAACTGTGGGGCAGTGAGCCAAATTAATGAATGAAGATAAATACTAGCTACACTAAAAATAAATAAAAAATTGAGCGTGGAGCTTTCTATTTGTTTATTTTTTTATTTACAAGCATAACACAGTGCTATCTAAGGCCAAATCAAAAATTGGACAAGGATAAAAAAAAACATTTGGTAGAACATAATCTGACCTTGTTGTCCTAACGAGGGCGCAGCGTAATGTGACATAATGTTGCGGTGGCCGAAGTTATGGGGCATTTGTGGATCTATCGAGTGAGACGGAGGTAGGAATTGAGGATAGACATGATGGGACCATTGAGGAAACAACGGTCTTGTACCATGACAATCTGGGCACAATAAGAATTCAATTAAAATTCCAGTTCAAATCAATGGGACACAACATTTAAGTGCCACTAAACTAGTCTTAATGGTGTGTGAAAGGTTACGAAGTAAAATTAATATTATGATTAATTATTGGTAAAATATATTACTTGGCGGAGTTTCTGATCGGGTTTGGTTATTGTTTGTTTGAGCGCTCCCGTGTATTTGTAACATTGCTGTCGGTGGTTCCAATATGTCTCTATACTTGGATACCATCAGCACAGACACAAAATAAACAATAGCCAATGATAAAAATTGGGCTTGCTTGGTTTCCTCCTAATGTTAAAAATAAAACAAAAAATGTTTAATTAACTATATAATAAGACATTATAGAAACTTTTACCACATCTCTGTAAATAACTGCACGCAAACGATTAATATCCATTTCTTGTAATAGTTTTTCTGGATCACGTATGGGATTTGTGGAACCATCGATTAAACTCTGAAATAATAACATATTAAAATTCCAGTAATTTCACCATAGTAATAATTACCTTAGGTGATGATTGACCAGCTCGTATAAGCGATTGCAAATGTAACTGTTTAGGGTTATTTGGTTGCGAAGGTAAGACCAACAGACGACTACGTTCTTTACATTCTAAACAGTTACGCACGGCATTTGTGCATACTAAACGCAGACATTGTCGTAGTATTCCACCACTTGACATGTTCTTTTCTGTTTCTAATTCAGAGAAATTCAGAGAACTAGCAAATACCAACACGTCAGCCATGTTGACTAATCTTTGTAGTAGAGACGCAGCCACTTCGACCGTCATTCCTTGGGTAGGTTCCATAATATCTAACTCACTCTGAAATTGTAATAAAATTAACAAAATTCCATCTCAAGTTAAATGTTTTTCTTACATTAGGCGATGTGGCAGATGCAAGCAATGGTAATAGCCCACCGCAAGCTATAATCAAGTTATCTGACAACTGCGAGATCAAATGTACAGTATTGACCACAAAAATTGCATTTTCGGCTCCATTAACAAAGTCCAAAACAGATTTGGTCGAGTGGCTATAAACACAATAAATCAATTACTTGAACAAGCTGTATTTCAATATACCAATTTGTTACCCTCTCCAGACTTGAATGTTGGATTCAAGTGAATAGAGTACATCTGATAGTAATCTTTGATGAATGTATGACCATTTGAATTCTGGAATTCTAAAGGGAGGTCTGGATGGACCTGGATTAAACATTGGTCTCGTATCTATATTTGGAACAATTGGTTTTTTCTCAGTCTTTTTACTTTTTTTGTCTTCAATTCCATTTACTGAAGTAGGTTCTAAAATTAAAATAATGTAAATATAAGTGCTTATAGTAGGCCACAAGTATTTTAAAATTATATTTATGTTATTATTAAGACCCAGATTTGAATATAAAATGAATAATTTTTTGGGAATTCCCAGGGAGTGGTCTAGAGTAAGAAGTATTTCGGTATGTCGATAACATCTTTACCTCGTCGATTAATGGCTGTTGTGTGCTTGGGACTCAAACCAGCAACAACTAATTGGTCAGTTGGTGATACATTATAATCGCATTAATTTCATAAATTTCATATTTTAAGAAATATTATAGAAAGGTTCGGATTACTTCATGTGGACATTATAACATTTAAATTTGATACTTAATTATTATAAATATTTTATATTATTACCCGGTGTTTCTAGACTCTTGTTTTCCTTAATATTGTCTGTAACACTGTCAGTCATTGGTATAGATTTAGTTTCTTCATTATCTAAATTATAGAAATACAACTGTTAGAATTTTAATGTACTAATAACTAATGAATGAAAAAAATTTCAAGATATCCAAAGACAATACAACTATAGGAAATTCTTGGGAACAGTGAAAAAAGTTTGAGGTATTGACCATTATTAGTTAAAGCGGTTTTATTTAACCATGTTCAACTGCATTATGATATATAATTTTCCAGTTTGAAATAAAACAAAGTTAATATAACTTTGTACGACTTATGTGCATGTGGATTGAAAATTATAAAACGAACAAGTACTTATAAGCCACATGGCAGAATTCTACACATCATTAATTAAAGTTATAAAAATAATTGAAAGTTAGGGGATAAATAACATGTTGAGTACTTATTTTTCAAATATTTAGTTTCAACAAACTAATATAATGTCAAAGAAAAAAAATTTTGATTAAAAATAATAAAAATGCTAACTAAAATGTGTTCCATTGGGTCACCTTAAGTTCTTAAACATAATCATAACTAATTTTCAGCTAATGATCATTAGGATGATATAACAATTGTTTTTTGAAGTCAACATAAATAATTATAACAGTATAACCAGTTATAACTAATACAATAATAATCACAAGCATAATAATATTATCTCGGTTAGACATTAAGGTATTCAGAATAATCGCTTTTTTGTGTTGGGATACCACGTAGAAAAACTACATCCCCAGGTGAACACCAAGTAGCCAAGTGTGCCGGACCGACACTGCTTTAGATGCCCTTAGATAACATCGTTATCAATACTAGTTTTTAAATACTAAATACAATTTTTGAAAAATATGTCAATATTATCATAAATTATACCTGCTAAGTTGTTCACATCTTCTTTACACTCATTTGATGTTTTATTACAATTTTCAATAATTTTGGCATTTTCTACGTTAACTTCATTTTCTTTTACAATATTAACATATTCTATTACTTTATCTACATTGTCATTTATGTTACGGATGGTTTCGTTTGTATTATCAACATTTTCTTCTGTTTTACCAATATTTTCTTCTATATTATTAACTTTTTCTTCTACTTTGTCATCATTTTCTGCTACATTATTAAAATTGTCTGCTACTTTATTAACATTTTCTTCAACTTTAGCATCATTTTCTGCTAAATGCTCAATATCCCCCTCTTTTATTTGTTGTTCTATGATTGCTTCTGATGTGTTATTGGACGGAATTTCCACTTCATTATTGCACTCTATGGACGGATTAAATTGAGACATAACATCATCATTAACAATGCTGGTAAGATCATTTGCATTCAAATTGATTTTTTCTAATTTTTTTTTCGGTGTATCATTAAGCTCATTTGGTGTTAAATACGCCTCTGAACAATCACTATCGACAGTGTCAAATGTCTGAACTGTTATCACAGATATTGGTTGAGCAACAATATTTTGCTCAATATTATTTTCTACGCCATTTTCATTAATTTCATGCTGTAAACATTCTGAATTTATGATTGTTTCACTATCACTACTATTACTAATACTGTCTTGATTTAGATCATTGATATTTATTTTTTCTTTCAAGCTTTCATTGGATCCTGAATCAATCGTTATCGCAATTTCAATATTTTCTTTTTCGGTAATACTATTATCTTTAAGATCTTCACTTAGCAGAGTGTTAATACTATTATGTATTTCAATATCTTTTGATACTAGGTCTTCACCATTAGATACTATATGGTTTTCAACTATTACATCAAAATTACGTTCAGTACTTTCATGATCAACAGGTAAAATGTCACCATTTACTTGCAAATATTTTTCGGTTGTTGAATTGTCTAGCTGAATACTATTTTTGACAGCAGTATCCAACATTTTAATTTCTTCTGAGATATTCAAATGTGTTTTTACATCTTCAACCACTTTTAATGGAATTACATCGTTAACTTGTTCAATAATATAGTTTTCATTTTTCTCGTTCAAATCTAATAAATCTTGTTTGTTTTCTATAATAGTAGGGACTAATTCATCAACTGTTGTTTCATTAGGTGATTCTAAATTTTCATTTTCATTTTCATTTTCTTTAAAAGCCTCTTCAAGTTTATTGTCAATTTCTTTTGATATTTCTTCATTTGATTTTACAATTTCTATTGTGGAGCTTAATTCATTACTCTGAGTTTGGGTTTTTACGGTGTTATTATCTTTTTTACTATCTGTAAAAGTTTTTAGTTTTGTAGTTTCACTTGAAATCAATGGTTCTTCATTTTCAATTTCACTCTCTCCTAATATAGTTTCAGAATTTGTTGGTAACTCTTGTTCGTCTTTTTCTTTACATTCTTTTAGCACTGGAACGTCTTCTACAGGTGTACTAATAGTAGATTCCTGAAATAACAAAAAGTAAAAATGATAGTTATTTTAATTAAATTATAATTGTACTATCATAATATATTACTATTAAATTAATTATTAAACATACTGGAGTTTCAGATGGTGAATGATTTATGGGTGGTGCTGGAGGTTGGTTTTCCCAACCAGATATGGTACTGATTGGACGTTGCTGACGTAGACGGGGGTCTGTAATGTTGTCACTACGTTGGCGCTCATAGTGTTCATACATTAAAGCAAACTGAAGTTTAAACTCTTCAAAGGATACCTGTAATTATAATGTTATATTTTAATAGAGGGTTTTGATAAAATTATAAAATACCATTAAATATAAAAATTACCTTTGAATGTACAATGGCTAAAGTGTCAACCCACACTCGCCAACCACCATACTCATGTTTGATAGCATGATGTAGTAACATAGTGAATAAGTTATAGACCATGTCAGACACTTTTTGCTCTTCACACGTTCTTGGATGAATATACGCCATTGCTATCAGCCATTCCTTGTATAAATAAGAAATTGATTTAACGACATTCAATTAAAATATCCCTGATTTCAGTAACTCACTTGCCAAACAGACATTTGCAATACTGTTCTTCTATTCTCACGATTATTACTACAAAGTATTGTCATGTCAGATAAAAACAGTTTCTTTACTTCTAATAATTGCTCGGATGGTTTAGCTTGACGAATTAGAGTAGCTACTACTTTGAGAATCACTAGAATAAATAAAAATATTGAACACATTATAATATTTTATTTTACTAGTAAATAAAAATAAAATAATTAATAATAAAACTATTGTAAAATAACCCAGATATTTGAAAAAAAAAAACGACTTACTAGGATTTTCTAATCTGCAATTACTATCAGGTTCTGGATGCCTAGTATAAAGTATTTGTTGACTAATCCGTTCGGTTAATATCTAAACAAAACAAAATAAATAAATAACAAAAGGATAGATTCACTATATGATTATATGATAATAGTAATATATTGACACATGGAGATGGTTTTATACTACATAATATTTTAGTTTTATTAATACACTTATAAAACCCAACTAAATATTTTAACAAAGATATTAATATTGAGCATTTACAAAAAACATTTTATGATAATGACATGCACTACATTTTGTTCACCAACAAAATGACATCACGACTTATGAAAGAAATAAATCAGGTTTCAGACATACCTACATAAGGCACCAAATGTTTACACAAGATAAATTACAACTTTGTCTGTGCAGTAATAAAAAATGTATACATTAATTGTTAATATATTTAAATGTTTTTATTCTAAGAGATAAATTAACATTACAAGTATGTATATGTATCTTAAACTTATAAATGTCTATGATATGTTTACATTAAAAAATTGGGTGACTTTTGTCCGGTTAAAGTTGATACTTCAATGGTATAAAAATTATTATGGAACATTTAGTTTTACCTTTAACAATATTGAATTCTTTGTTAAACTATATTAAGGATACAAATTTCTGGTCAGCCCGTGTATTTTTATTGCAATAATTAAATCAATTTTACGTATTATAAAATACGTAAGAAAAAAAAAGTGGTCCAATATATTGATCCATTGAAATATCCCCTAGGGTATAACACTTGAATAGTTGAGCAGAGCAGTGTTTTTATTATATTTTTATTATATAATTTTCAAAATCATATAAAACTTATAAAACGAGATGACAAATATGATTCACTAGGGAATATAGCAAAGAAATTTATTCTGAGCAATAAAAACTTTACCACTATGGCAATTGAGTAGGTAAAAAAAAACCCAATTTATGTCACTCTACATATTTTCTTCTTAAGGAGACTTCATTATCATAATTTATGAACATTTATTCTAAAGTTCAGTTGGTTGAAATCAAATTAGTCAAGTAAGTATACATGTTTATATTTTATAATCAATTGTATAATAGTTTTATAAATATTATGTAGTATTATATCATATATATTATATTACAATTTAAATAGGAAACAATAGATGTTTTAACACAGTATAATCTTTTTAGTAAAACAAATAAAATATGTTTCTTACCTCATAAAGAACATTATAAGTGGGTAGTGTAATAGTTTCTTCGTTTAACATTAAACGTTCCGACAGCAAAGTATATAAATTATAAGGACTCATCACATCATATTTTCTTCTAAAGTTACAAAACAATAATAACTATTACTATTCATAATATATTTTTACCTTTAGATATATAAGTCTCAGCTGAGTTCTTTTACTTTTTCATAGAAAAATAATACTGTAAAACCGTTGTATAAAAAACAACTCTATTAATAACATTTAATTTATATTTTTAATTTGCCTACAGTGAGTTTAAAATCTTTATAATATATAAATTTAGATGTTTTTTAAAAAAATGGCTACATCATATTCTTATTGTAATCTCGCCATGGATTTTCATATTACTTGGCTTTTTACCAAAATATTTTGAATTACTTACAAAAAAGGTATACCTATATATAAGTACATTTTTCTATTTTTCAATGTATAGGTTGGGTTAGACATTTATCAACTTTCAGCTTACATTTTTTCTAAAAAATATGTGCACTTTAAACGTATAATAAATAATATTGATTATATTTATAAAATGTAAATTTAATGTTTTAGCCAAGGAAATTTTATATTTATGCAACTGAAATATTGTTTTTTTTTTTTTTTTTGTTACTCAGAAAGAGATTATTTTCTATCTGTATACACTAAAGACCATTAGTAGTATTCTCATATGTACAAAAATAGAGATATTTGACTATTAAAAAAAATTATATTACTTTTAACTTAACACAAAACGTTAGCTTTCATTAACTTACTTATGCGTACTGCGGCTCAAGAAGAATCCTAAGAGCTTTAGAGCTTGTAGTCGAATTAATTGGCTTTCTGATGCCACTAGTTTAAATACACATCGTACACCATGTTTTACGTCAAAAGCCGGTATCATAGATGCTGGCTGTTCCGACATAAGAGACATGAGAGTTTGAAGAACATCATGCAGATTTTCATCCTCACAAACTATAAGCACATGTAAAAAACGAAATGAATTATAATGTGAGTTACATATTAATTAACAATTTATTCTCACCAGTCGTCAAGTAATTAATAATACTCTGAAGCTCATCTTCTTTTAAACCTACGCCTAACATCATTAGTTGCTTGAGAAACAGTAAAATATAACCTCTAATAATCAAAATATCTTTTTGAGCAGGCCGAGGGCCATCTAAAAAAAAAAAAATTTATTAAACAATTGAAAATCGTATAATATTAGTGATATTTATATATTTACCAAGTCCTTTTGGTATAATACCGCTCTTATTCCTTGGATTTACTACCCAGTAGTAATATTTAAGTGTGTGGACAGTTTGCAGTACAGTAGATACTCGACGTACGTTTGAATAAATTTGAGTGTCAGAGAGGAATTCTGTTGCTAGATACGTGTAAAGCCTAGTTTGTACATGAGTTGGTGTGTATATCCACAGACCGGGGTTGAAAAGTATATGATCGAGGAGCTGATCAAAATCAAATATAAATTCATACATAAACACGTTCTCATCAAATGTTTATCATTATAATTTACCTGTTTTAGTAGTAACTCATTGTTGGGTGTAAGACAGGTGACTAGGTGTTTTGTGAGCCGTAAGAATGAACCCAATACTTCTAGCGTCAGATGATCCCTAGACGACCTTTGTAACATATAACTAATGACTAGAAATCCACGGTTTTGAATCATGTGCTGTTGTACCGTTTGTGAAGTTTCAACCATATCACAAATGAAACCCAATAATTTCCAACTGGAAAAAAAAATTTAAGTTGAAATTAATATAAGCTAAATCTCTGGTTCAATTTAATTGTATAGTGAACAACTAATTTAAAATACTTCATTTTTTTAGGATTTTAACAAAGTACATTTTAGGTTAAAACTGAATCAGAAACTAATTAAAACCCAACACAATTTTTAAATTAGAGTTACAAATTAATCAAAATTATATTTAAATTGAATGTTATAAAGTTAAAACCAATTTATAATATTGAAACAAAAAAAAAATAATGATGATTACTTTTTAATTTGTAATTTTCTTCACAAAGCTAATTTAATAATAAATGTACAGTGTTCACTTTTAAAAGTGAAATTGTATATTATACTAAACATTTAGACTAAAAAAGTTGAATGTACATGCGCATACCATATAGAAGCATCTTTTTTATCCATAGGTTCTGCAGATAAATCAAGTTGAGCAAATAACGGAAACAGCACCTGTATACCACCAACAGAGTTTAGGGTACTGTGTATGGAATGGGTAATGACAGCTTTCACATCCTGATAAGAAAAAATATTAATAATTTTGTTAAAAATAAGTATTGTTTTGTTACTAAAGATGATTTAAAAATAATTATTTTACTATTTATATTATTACACATATTGACATATAACAGTATTTATTATACAATGTATTACCTGCAACATGAGTGCATGTGGTGTGTGCACAAAATATGATGCATTTCCTTTTGGGGTTGATTGCAAACACAGTTGGCCATCAGTCGCTACAGGATTATACATGAACACTATTGCATTTGACAATTTACCATCATATAAAACCTAAAATTAAATTGAATTTTAACATGACGTGTAAATTAAATATATATATATATATATATAATATACGTGTGATGTGTCTACACATTTTAATCATGAAATAAATGTATATGAACCATCTACAAGTACAATACATTTATTTGATGTTGATCAGTCTTAACTGCAGTCATATTACTCACCTTTGACTTATCTCACAAACTCAATTTTAATGTATAAATAAAAATAAAACTAATCTGAATACATATTTCGTTAATTTTATCTACTCATAATAATAAATATAATGATACCAACAATGAAAGATTATAAGATAAAATAGCTTAATTCTACCAATAAAATAGTGTAATGTATCTACATTATTCAATTCTCAAAGCAGTAGTACTTTTTAATATTAACTTTAAGGTTTAAAAAAATGAACGTGGATAGGTTAAAATATAAAAGAAATACATAAATTAAGTCAAAATCTCATCTAATGAATTCCTCATTTTAATATATGTAATATATATTTTTACTGTAGTTGCATAGTAATACTATTTATGGAAAAATACAAAAACAAGCACATAAAAGTTCCAAAAAAAAACAATGGCAACAATACTCAAATGAATACGCGTTATGCATACATGTTTTTAATAAGATTTTAAAAGCTTACACATTATATAGACACCTTAAATACATATTATGTTTAGTCTATGCTGTCAACTAATGTGATATAAACCTACTCTAAATTTATTCAAATATATGTTATAACAAAATGTACCTGAATTTCAGTATAATAAAATCAATTATTGACAGATTTAGTTATGGAAGGACTGGTATGAAGTAATTTATTGTTTTTGTTTAATGGGGCGAAGAATGATATAATAACTCACAGACTAAAAAGAATGCTATGGAGTTGATTAAAAATTATTTTATTTGGCTAGTGGTTTAGTCTCAATTTTTTTTTTTTTATTCTATTGTATTATAAACTACGATTATATTATGTTTGTTCACAATCAATAAGCAGATACAGGATATATATATTATATTATATTTATTTTCTTTGTACTTTGGAAAATCTTAGTAAAATTGATTCAATTTTTGGAGATGATTCTCGTGGTTTATAATATTAGATTATCAAATTTACTGAACACTCATGAATATAAAAGTTTACATTATAAATTCTCTTTTGAAGTCTCATGAGGAGTATAGAAAATCAATTTTTGAAGAATGTTCAGAGTTTACCTATCTATATTGGTTTTTTTTTTTCAATAAATAAATAAGATGGGTCCAAACTAAAAAAGAAATGATACACATAATATAGTATACCTAATATAAAAGAAAAAAGCAGCCAAATGTCATCCCAAAGTATGATCAAGCATAATAACAATATTCCACTTATACTTTCAAATCATTTGATAATCAAAGTTTTAGAATTATAATTATTTAAAAATTATAATTTGTAAAAATTGTATAGTATTATAAAATAAAATAAATTGTTTATAATGTGAAAAAATTTAATTAAATAAACCTTCAAATAGAAAGAAAATTTTATCACAATTATAGATATATCAAATTGCGTTTGAAAAAATAATTAATAATGTTTTACAAAATACCAAAAGAAAATTCCTACAAGAAAAATATTACAGGAATTTCTATCCCAATTTTGCAACCATATATCACCTGAAGCTAAAAACAAACAAAATTAATTAATAGTGCATAATAAAAAAAACAAACAAAACAAAATTCTTACAGAACTATCGACAGCGTGTTGGGGCATGCGAGAAATATCTGAATTCTGGGTTTGGCTCAAATTCTTAAATTCACTCACCCTTTTGTGGTTCTCTGGTAGACTTAAATGGCATTCATTATCAAAACGAAATTGGCACTAAAAATAAATAAGTTAATATTAATAACATTAAGCAAATATTTGAACAAAAATAATACAATTGAAGGCTTAGGGTTAAATTAAAATAACTACTGAGCTGATCATTAATGTTTTAGTTCAAATAAAATAGTAACATTGGTTGTTAATAAAGCAAACCTAAGTTATTAATTATTAGCAGTAGATATATCTACCATAAATATGAATTAATATGCAAGCCTTATTAAAAATGAAATGGATATTAGAGGAGCAGTAGGGAAAATTGTTCAGAAGAACACAAAGTATATAACATTGAATTAAAATGAATAAGCCAAGCATAATTTATTTTTTTATTACTATTTTTAATCAATAAATCTCGGTACAACTTAGAATTATTAATAGTTCAACTCATTCCTCGCATTTCAAATCCCAATATTGATCAACAGTTTAAAAAAGGTTTTATAGTTGTTAAAAGTATTATTAATTTTGACATACACTATTTCTAGAAGGTTGTAAATATAGTTTGAAACAAAAAGTAAGTTCCCGAAAATGATGTTATTTTATTAATTAACATTTAAAATGTAAACTTTCTGTAGATACTAACTTTATATCCTGGACCTAATCTATGTATGGCACATATTTGGTGAGTTGTCAACGCTTCGCTAAACAAATAGATGGCTGACATTTGACCACAAAACACGCGGTCTTCGTCCAGTTCCGGCGTCGCTCCAATGTAACATTTATCGAACGGCTGTTTCACAATAGTTACAATTCAATAATAATTAGGTCATAGGTCAAAATATTATTAAATCCGCAGTGTAATAGACGGACGATGTGCTCGTCATATTGTAGTAGGTACCTACACGCAGTAGCATATGCCGGATTTCAGTTCGGTTAGGGTTTTACCAAAGATTAATCATAGACCAGTGGGTAGGGAGGATTCATCCCAGTTTACATATTTTTTTTGCTTTTTTAGTTTTTATATATAACTGGTCAAGACAAATAAAAGAGTTCGACTCGAATTTAGTTTACGTTTAGAGTATTTAACATGGTCATGTATAGAGCCTCTTCTGCAGGCCTTAATAAACGTGGTAATAATCGATGACACGTCATGGAACCAGTCAAAAAAAAAAAAACTATTATTATTGAAGTCATTACCATTTTACTAATAAAAATGACTAGTAATTATTAATCTACGCTGATTATGGTGGTAAATGAGATTTTTTTTGTAAAAGAATTTTCAGGGGGAACTCTAGAACCCCATCCCTGCGTACGCCACTGCCTACACGTCTCGGTGTGATTGTGTGTAATGATAAACGTACCTCGTTGGCCGACACAAACCAGGCCATTTCTGTACTCGATGCCAGTTGACCGTTCACCACGCATTTGATTTCGCTTTTCGTCCATCTGTTGTAAATGTACACAATGGCTATCATGTACCACTGCAATATAAATAAACACACATAGACGGATGTATAATATTAATTATAAATTTTCCCGTAGGACGACGAGTATGGTCCGGGCGCAACAGAGAAACACAATTTTACCTTCCGGGGTTGAAATTCATATTTTACGCAGTGTTGGAAACCTTTGCCTTTAATCTTCATGGAGGTCAACACCAAACAGTTGCCCACGAAATGCGCCGAATACCCGACGCCTTTACTCGTTTTGAAACTGAAAAAGTAGCGAAAAGTATATAATATGATAAGACTTTCGTATTGGAAAAAAAAATAATAATTAAATAAAAAAACGACGACGATTCGTTTAGGAAACAGGTAGGGTAGAGCAAACCGCATAGTTTTCAATCATATTATTACCAGTACAGATACGGCTTTTCACGTTCAATGTTCACCGAATTGATGGGATCCAGTCGAAACCACGTGCAGAACGTAAAACCGTTTTCGTATGGCCATTTCGCTAACGGTGGCAGAACAATGGCCTGGAAAATAAAAACGAAAGATGTTAAAAAAAAATAATCGAGACCACGTCGAACATATTATAAACGCGGCGTGGTTAGTTGTCGCTTACCGATCCTTTTTTTCCGGGAAAACTGAAGAAGACATCCGGACCATTCCTTTGCGGCATCTGTCGCAAAACGTTCAAGAGCTTGGTGGAGTGTTTTGGCTGTGAACACACAAGGGAAATCATCAATTACGTCGTTTTCTCCGCAGATAGTTATATCGTATATACATCCTCCTCATGCATTTGTAAAATCTAGGTGGCTCTGAGGTGACGCGGGTCACGGGAAATTCGAATTTATTTCCCCGAGACGTGGTTTATTTATTTTTTATTAATGACTTTGCCAGCACAGGTGAACAATATAATGTCATCGGGCCGAAATATATATATTAAATAATTATTATAGATTGGACGATTAACAATAATAAGATAAGAACAATATAACACTTTTCAATACCAGCTCCTATCTAATAATATTTTATAATAGTTTTATTTTAAATATATAAATTGATCTAAAACTTCAGCAGCTAAGGCCGGTTTTCACATTGTTATACAATATGTATATTATATAAGCTATATATATTTTTTTAAATATATTTATATACATAATATGTGCATTGGAAGAATTTAGGGGGTACATTATGACATTATGATATTATGTGCATCTATAAAATATCTGAATACGTAAGGTACCTATTTTTGATTTCAATTATAATAGAAGAACAGATAGAGAGATAAAGGAGACAATTATAACAATAATTTGCTAGATACTTAAAAAAACTGTAATATTGAAATTTTTAAAGGGAACCAACAATAGTTATTATTTTAATATTTATATTCATGACGTTTATACTGTTTAGTGTACCTATTACATACAGTTTAATAATATATACTTTATAAATAATGAATAAAATATAAGTTTAGTTTTCATATGTTTTTCTGGGCAACGACCTTAATAATTATCGATTTAAACATTTTAAAATTATATACGGGTAACAAAATAATACCTATACGAAGATGATAGTTTAACGTGTACTTAAATATATACGACAATATTGAATATTTCCATTATAAGATATTTTTTAAGTGAAACAGACAAACCAAAACAATTTTGAATATAAAATTAATTCAATTTTTCAATGAAAATATTTAAAAATTATAAGTAAAAGAACTAACCATCAAAAAGCGGTACACATCAAATAGATAATTTCACACAAAAATTATTTTTTTCCGTTTCAAATATTTTAAATATTCTACTTGCAATATAGGTAGGTACATTAATAACATGTATATCCCTAAACTGACAAAACCTATTATTATTTCATCGAACTTATAAACTTACGATTACATTTCTAATAAATATAACGTAGGTATATAATATAGGTAATAATAATATCTATTATATACAAACATATTATTATGTTATATATAAGACAGAATATTAGGTACCTACATAAATCAAATTTTTTTCTTAATGTTTTATACGTTATACGTCCTAACGTTTATAACCAAAAACTTATAGTTTTGAAAATACAAAACGTATATATTACACTAGCAAGTGGGATATACAGAAACAATAAATTGTGGTGTAAAGTCCTTTAAAACAATCGCTGAGACACGCGTTTGATTTATAACACGAAGAACAATAGATCCACAAAATATAATTTATATACTTAACACGTACTTTTTCAAATGACAAAATTTTAATGGCATATTCACTAATTATTTCTAGTTTGAAAATTATTTAAACAGTAGTACCGATATATAGGTATCTATGATATAATATTACATAAGTTGTAATTTTATAAAACATAATATTATATGAACTGCAGTGTTCATGTTCCAAACACCGTAAATGCTATCGATACGCGTAGAATTTTAATGACTGTCAATAAGCATAGGTTATGAGCATAAAATATTGATGTGTAATAATTACTTCCTCGTATTTCAAATAATAATAATTTAATACAACTAATATGTTTTAATACCATTGTATAGTGCATACCCACCATATTGCATATTGATGTAACAAATAGTTTTTATTACATTATAAATATGATTTACGGTGGTTAATTTAATTTGTAAACACAATTTATAATAGTGAGCTACCTAAGTAATAAACATAAATTATTGTTTATTTCAAACGATATTTCGTTTGTAGGGAAGCTATCTATCTATACGAATAAGGAACAAGAAAAATAATATGAGTGGAATACGCAGTAGTATATAGTATAGCGATATCCCTGAAAAATAAACATAACTAATATACTTCCAATATTATTATATAAATGAACTCATCGTTTTCACTACCTATATACTGATGTGATGAGAATACATTGGCGATGCAATCAAGTAATAGCAGTTAATAAGAATTACCTGAACCAACTACTCTATATACCCATTGGAGCAAAATAATATATATCATTGACTTTGTGCACAAAACAATTTTCAACTAGCGAAACTTATTATAAGTGATTTATAATAAACAACCGTAAACGACATTAAACGATACAGAAGTAAAATGTAACTCTATTCATTCAATGATGAACTTTTAATATTTTGATACAACTCATACTGAGCTCATAAAAGCATAATATAAATATATAATTTAGTAAATAATAAAGATTTAAGTATAAAGTACAAGCGTACAACTAGGATACTCTTTTTACAAATAATAATAAATAATCAAAAATATATTTCCATCAGTTTGATAAGGGTTGTTGACACGTCATATCCGTAATATTAATACCCATACCTATATGGTTTTTTTTAATCATTAAAAGTATAATTTATTCATGACATAATGTAAGTATAAGATCTTGTACAATATTTAAATATATAATTATTACGTAGGTATCTAGGTGCTTGTTTTTACATCCACTTAATTCTATTATATTTAATGGATATGTTTAATCTCGAGCTGCTCATATATAAAACATACGTATAAATATATTTAAATCGATAAAATTGCTTTCAAAAAACCTATTTGCATTACCTTCTGTTGAATTTAGTTTATTAATTATAATTTCAAACATTTACACCTAAATTGTACATTAAAAATATTAAAGGAAAACAAATTGTGCTTAAACACTTTTTTTTGGTTTCTAAAAATTAAACATCGATCAAATTCTCAATGTTTATAGAATCTATACTCTAGATGATATTAAATAATATAGTATATCTTATTTTCAGTGGGCGTTCAGCTAGGTTGCAAATCTACATGCAACTTTTGGAGCACTGTCTTCAAATACCTATACAGTGCGTTCACATTTCGGATATAATTAAATTAATTCCTATAAATTTATATAAAATTCTTTGAATACCAAAAATAATAAAACTTATCTATATGTATGTAAGTATAAAGTAGTTTGTGGTGGTAGGCAGTTAATTCAGCAGATACCGCGACAATAATGATTAAGCATGTAGGCGAGATGGCCAAAGGAAGTTCGACGAACAGTGGTCGGTAAAATAACAGTATAATAATATGTATACCGTATACGGGAAATATGAATAGGTAATAACTAAAACGATTAATGAAATAAACGTAGTATCTATATTCAATATATTATGTTAAGTATAAATTTTCGAATAATTAGCAGTTAAATGAATAATATGATGTACATAATACCTATATCAAATTTCGTGAAATATCGTATACCCTGCACCTACACTATTCATATTTAGTTATTAAAAAATAACGACATATATTTAAAAAATATTATATAACATATAATAAAAGAAAAATATAGCTGAAAGTATTAATGAACTATTATTACATTAAACATTTACCTAGGTACCTAACAAAATTATATTTTTTATAAAAAAAGGGCGCCTATTTACATTTGTTGAAATAATATTATACTACCTGCTATACCTATAGTAATCTATACCTATTTAACGTTAAACGTGGGTTAGTGCAAAAGTTATTAGGTGTGCGAGGTGCGCCAGGCGCATAGAACGTTCAATAAATTTGGAGTGCAATTTATATTGTGCTGGAATAACACGATGTCCGATACAAAACAAACCGACACCAGAAAGCGCTACGCTAATATTACAGGGCAGTATCGATATCTCTAGCTCTATTATGTAATATACGTTTATTCGGAACGTCGAATCAGACGTGAAAACGAGATAGCCCTATTCCAAACGACGGATTTAAGTATTAAGTATATATATATATACTGTAAGGCCCCAGATGAAAAATTGCAACAGTCATTTGGGTCGATCGAATACAAACACTCAAAACATTCACACACACACACATGCTTGAACCAAGTGTATATTAAAGGTTACGTGAGGTATACATTCAATAGTCTGATGCCACAGGAATCTCAATAAAACTCAATGACTAGTGCTGTATGCGATGAATACCTACGATCCTGCCATTAAATATATAGGTATATGTAGTTTATTTACAGGGTGATTCGACAAGCATGCTCACCCCCGTTTTTTCTTTTAATAGTGAATTTACTTAAATTCTGTTTTTTTTTTTTTGGAATTTTTAAATATAAGTAGGTAGGTACTTATTACTTGGGACCATTTATTCAAATTCTTGAGATTCTCTTGAGTTACTTAAAAAGGGTCCTGTGGGCTGTGACGATACAGAAACCTGATTTTTTTTCAAATGAGAACTCCTTTTATTTACTGTATACAGTAATTTATAAATTATTTAGTACATAATTTTTTTGAAAATGTTGATGTAGGTACCTAATCCAAAATTCTAACGAGTAGTTACTTTGTTATTAAAATATTTATACAAAGGATAAAAGTCGTTTAAAATGGTTCTCAAAAACTACTCGTTCAAATTTTGATTTTGATATACCTACCAAAGTGTTCCGATTCACTAAATTAATAGATAAATAAATACATTTACAGTATAAAAGAGAAAAAATAAGGTCGTATCTCAAGAATTTGAAAATATGGTCTTAAGTCTTAAGCTACCTGTCCTACCTATAGTTAAAAATTTCAAAAATCAGATTTTGAACTGCATTATTGAAGAAAAAAAAGTAAGTGAGCTAGCATGGTGAATCATCCTGTATATCTAATATGTTACAGTGTACATATTATACAGACAAGCACCGATATCGTTTTCTCTCGTCTCCTACCCACCGATTCCCCCAACACCCCGTAGTTCACCCGTTAGACCACAAGTTAATGGAGTTTTCATTTCATGTCGTCGCCATGCTGTCTCGTATATGTATATTGTATGCACACATTATATTATATTATACAGGTAATCTGGGAGAATCATACGGCGAGGACCCGACCGAGGGCGCACTAGTTGCGTTTGAAACTAAGGCCTCTATGCTCTTTCTGAACCTACTCCGAACGTTTAATTTACGTTTATCGGCAGGAATTAATAATATACAAATGGAAATAATCGGATTAAAATTTAACATAATGTCGAAGAACAAATACATGAGTTGCGCATTGTGCTTAGGCACAATATATTATGGAATATTATTCGTGACTACTATAAGATTGTATTAATAATAACAGGTATATAGGTGCCTAATAATAATAATTAATATCTAATCATCAATGACATCATGATAGTAGTAGTAGATAATGTATTAAGGATAGTATAGTCGTAGTAAAAAATAAATTTCAATCTGGTAATGTGCGATAAATAAAAGAAAAACTGTGTACTGATATACATCACTCGTAAGTTGTAACAGCAATGGACAGTCTTCACCTGCCTTTTTATGTTTATTTATTTTAAAAAAGGCAACGTGTAAATAAGGTGTGTATTTACCGAACAAATATAGGTACAAAAAAACCAATTATTTCAATGGCACATACATTGCGTAATGTAAAAATAAAAAAATAAATTACAATAATAAATCTACCAAATACGTTGGTAAGACACGTAGATGATAGAACAAAATTTAAAATTATTGAGAGGAGACACATCCTTAACTATATGGCACAAAAATCGCTTTTAACCATGTCGGAAAAACGATATTCCAACGATAATTTGTAGATGGATGTAGGTACGTAGGTACCTAATAAGCCGAGAGAAAAAATGCATCACATAAATAGTGATAACGCGCAAACATGAAAACTGTAAGTGTAGAATGAATAGAGAATTTTAAGTATTAATTAAGGTTAGGAATGTGAACACACAACTACCACCTACATATAAGAAATCTACCTCCAAAATGGATAAAATCCCGAAGACATTTTAAGAGACGACTGTGTCATGAATCATGATCCCCATTCCGTAAGATAGTAAAGATGATGATGGTAGTTTTAATTTATGAGATTATATATGTTTATAGAAGATTAAAGAACTAAGAAAGGGGTTTTATAATTTAATGATTAAGTGTTATTATATTAACGATATAAAAAAAGTGATCCTTAAATGATGCTCGGGATAAGAGACTTTTTGAAAAATTAAAATAGATACTAGAAAATTGTATAGGTATACTGTACCAATCAAAGTGTATCCTTATGTATAATGATATTCGCAAATACCCTTAACTATATTGAAGATAAAATTAACGTTGAATCAAAATAAAAAAAATTGTTTAACACGATCACAACAATCACAAGAAACCATGTTTTTATACGGCAGTTTCTGTACAGACAAATCACAAATTGTAAATACATCAAAGAACGTATGTTACGAGCAATAATAGTGTAAACATTTATTAATATCGAAAAATAAAAAATAAAAAAATATTGGTCGGACGTCGTGTATACATACTAAAACATAATGTGAAAATAATATTATAGACATAACACTGAACACGGATTTTTTTGTTTTAATAATAATTAATGGACGGTGGGAGGGTAGGTATAAAATTAATTATTAATATTGAAAAAATAGTTATAGGGCTATAACAATAAAAAATAAACCGAGTGTGTTTTAAATTGATTAGGTACTCTACAATATAAAATAATTGATGAAAACTAATAAATGTATTGATCTGGGTGGATTTATTAAAACATCAAGTTCTCATAATAACTTAACAATATTAAAGTATACCTACAACGCAACATAATGCATTATGTATATTTCTTTTTTTTTTTATTTAAAAAAAATTGTTTTGTATCATACACTAGAAAAACTGGAGTTTGACAGATATCGGTCACGGTTGTTTACTTAGGAGCAGACTAAACGATAAAATTATATTGGTACGTTATGAATTATGATAGATGTTACTGCTACAACGTCAGTCAAAATAATAGAAAAAATAAGGGTATATTTTAGAAACAGCTTTATAGTGACATGCGCGAAGAGGTTTTTTTACCAATATTATAAAGCAATTGAATGTTTTTTTAGCAATTCAATGTTTTATTTATTTTCAATTCATACTTCCTAAAAATGCGTACCCTACCATACTATTCAACTGTTTGTGGATGAAATCATTTGAAATTAAAATGTAAAAAAAAATATAAAATATGTAATATAACCTACCTATGTATTATAATTTATTTATTTTTTCGTGTACCTACCTATATAATGAATTGCATTTTTAAAACATACCTAGGTATAACTATGCATACGAATGTTAAAATATGTAAATACTTTCATATATATGCGAAGTAAAATATGTATAAAACTAAAAATTGGTATCATATTACATAATGGTTCAATAACTCAAAGAATATATGAAACGTAAAGCAAGAAGAGAAAAATGACCCGATTAAAAATTGACCCAAATCCTAAATTATAAACATACTTAAAATTTAGTTAGGAAAAGCCTTTGGTATAGTTCAAAAAGGGACAGTATCCAAAGCACGCAATATTGCAAATATATGGGAAACAGCTAAGCCGATTAGGGTGATATTTTAAATAAATGACAAGACAGAAAGGTTGGCAAAATATCTATATAAAAAGTCAAAGCGTTTGTAATATACAATCTTCAATTAAAGCTTCATACTATTAAGATCCTCTTTTTGAAATTACACTTTACTTCAAATGCGTTAAATCCAAAATAATATACTCTAAAATACTTATAATATAGATCAATGTCGAGAAATATATTAAGCAACTACCTACGATTAAATTGTGAGAATATTAATATCCACAAATATGAAACATAATCAAATTAATTTTCAAAATCTTTATGTCACTATAATATTATAACACCTATAATAACTGTACATATTTCTTAAAGTATTTTATTCATATCTAATAAATTACTTAAGAATAAATAAAATATTATGAATAAATCAGTTTATTTAATATACACTTAAACAAAAAATAATAACCTATTGGCTATTAATATTATATTATATTCAAATATATACCAAACATCTATAGTTATTGAGTAAATTAAACTACCTAATATATTTGTATTTACCCATTTTCCATTAATAGCTTTCATTGAACCCAGTAGTAGTTTTAACTCTTTTACAGTTATACTGAAACTAGCAAGAACTCCAAGCATATCAATCAGAAGATCTGAAAACATATAAGTAAACAAACGATTAGAACATATTTAAAAACCAAAATAAATATAATAATTACTTATAAAAAGAACGAGTTAACATTTTATAGTTCCTAATACAAACCATATATAAATTATAAAAAAATCTAAAAATTATTATAGGAAGTGTGAAATACAAGAGCAATATCTATCATTTTATATTGACTTATTGATTTCTCAACATTAAAAAATGTAAAAAAAAATAGGTACATATAGTTTAAACATAACCTAGCTTAACACATTTTTTATAAAGTAAAATGTCTTTATCGAGCTTTTATTTAAAATCATAAGCTATACATTGACCCGACAACAAAAAGGTGGGCAATTGGACACCACTAGCTATAGACTTAGTGATATACAGTTAGTGTCGAGTGGGTCACTGTTATGGGTGTGTTCAATTTTAATTCAATATGATATAAGTCATTGTATACGAAAAACGATATATCAAATATATTATTTCTTTATATGTTTTTTGATATTATACTATTAAACTAATTTATTTTACTATTAGTATTATGGTAGGTTAATTTTACTTTTGCCAAAAACATTGCATTAATTATATATTGAATGCTATAGTTATATCATAATAATATATTATTGTTATTAACTTTTTAATAATATCACCTTAAAGTAGAACAGTGTAAAATAGGTTAGTGGTATAAATAACAGGCAATAACTTAAAACTAATCCTAATGTATTGGAAATGTAATTGTGTATATTATGAATTATGATAACTATAATATCCTTTAAATGATTAAAGTACCTACCCACTGATAATATTTTTAAATTACTACAAAATAACTGTAGCCGTTATTCTTCGTTTAAATATCTAATTTCGTCTAAATTTAAACTTAAAATATCTATAAAAAAACGCCGGGCTTATATATTTTTTTTAGATTTTATGGTTATACTATGGACTAGTTATGACAAACCCTGTTTTACATTTTTAATCCATAGCTATAGAAATAATTTCTTTATACATTTTTAAATACCATTTTTAGGTACACAATTATTTGCAAAATTTTCGTAACTTTATAAAAATTTTAACTTTTTGAAAATGTTTATAAAAAATGTTTCTTTAATATTTTGAAATTGTTTTGATAACGATAAGTGTAATAATTTATAAACATAATTAATGTGCTGCAATACAAACGTGAAGTATCATTATTCATTAAACATATGTCAATCCAAACTATAGAATAAAATATATATAGGTTTACTGGGCTTAGTAAACGGCAAATTTACAACATCCATTAAAAACATGATCAAAATCAAGTCTACCATGTATTATTAAATGATTATCGAGAGTTTGACAGGATCGATAAGTTTCAAAACTATGTATTTCATTTTGTTAAACAGCTAATCAGTAAGTATATAAGTGACACTGTATAATATAATATAAATGTATATTATTTATTCAAAAAATAGATTAATTAAGTATAGACGCATATCTGGATGAATATGGCATTGTAATATATAAATTACGTTAAAAAGCCATTTAATGTCAAATGTTAATTAGTTGTAATGAAATATTATTGTTATTACTATACTAAATTAATACATTCTAGTCAACACTAAAGTATAAAAAGTACACATTGGTTTCTCGTTAATTTGTCCCAATTTTCCCAAAGCACTCCATGTTAAAATAAATTTGGAAAGATATAAACAACCAAACCAACACAGCCTAAAGTGTGTTGTGTTGTTTGTTCGTTATTAATATTCAATTTAACAAAAACGTGTTTTAAGCCCTTACTTAGGATGTTAAACTACACAAGGGTAATTGTAGTGATAAATTAGATGTAAAACATCAAGGTCGCCGTATAGTACCTTATAGTATACCTTATATAGTCAAGTATTATAACGGAAACGTCCATTACAACTAATGATATAACTAATCCCACCAAAAACATATATGTAAAATGAGAGCCAAGTTCAATACTATAATATATGCCTTGGTTGTTGACTTCAACGACAAAAGAAGTGAGATCTAAATGGGTGCCAAGTTAGGATAATATATTGAAGCCTAAGGTGTGACTTGGCTACTTTTCATATACGAATTATTATTATAAGTACCTACTAAAACAGTAATGGAAGAGTGAAGATGATTTTCCGAAGAATAAAATAAGAACTCAAAGCTTTAGAACTTGCAAATGCTATAATATATAATTCGTAGCCAAGTCAGACCTTAGGCTTCAATATATTATCCTAACTTGGCACCCATTTAGATCTCACTTCTTTTGTCGTTGAAGTCAACAACCAAGGCATATATTATAGTATTGAACTTGGCTCTCATTTTACATATATGTTTTTGGTGGGATATCATTACTTTTTGTATGTAAATTATTATAACCTAACCTAACCTAGCCATGACGTATTCTATAAATAAAGTTTATTACTATACAATATAATTCAGTTACTAATATTAATAATAATATTTATTATAAAATATTTTCCGTTGTATGTACAGAGTATAAAATATATGTAAAATTAATATACAATTATTTTAATTCTTTTTGAGTATATTTTTAATTATCATAATTTTATTGACTGTAGTTTCTACTGTTGGGTGGATAATTCATAATTTGTAAGAATAATTATTTAATTATTTTAATTGTAATATTTAAAAAAAATAATATTAATTACATACATAGATAGAAAAAAAAGTATGTCGCTGCGCGCGGGTCGACAATATCGACACATATTGGGCTAGTCGTATTTTTGGAGCGGCGATACGAGAAAGGTTATTTAAGTCAACATTACATTAAATTAGAGGCAATTCATTAATAAATTGAAAAATTAAACATAATAGATAAAATAATTGCAAAATTATAATAAAATCAATTGATTAAAAAATTAAAAATTAAAAAATTAAAAATTAAAAATTAAAAAATTTTAAATTAAAAATTTTCAAGTTTCTGATTTTTTCCTTTGTATTTACCTAACTACCTATCTGTATGCCAAATTTGAACTTTCTAGGTCATCTGGAACTGGGTTAGAATTTTGATCTATAGGTAAGTCAGTGATAAAAATGACGATTTTCGGACGTTAATATCTAAATAACGGGTTGAAGTATATTTATGAAATTTAGAGCACATATGTATCTCGTTAGTCTCAATATATGAGCCAAATTTGACATGTTTATGTGGAATAGTTTTTGAGTTATGAGGGGGTCAAAAGTGGCTCCAAATGGTTCGTGTAATATTACACACGGTGCTGCTCGCCAGTTCTGTTAGCTAGAACTTGGCTTGACACGCTACCGCGTGTCTAGATGATACATAGTTATAATATATATAGTATATAAAAACCACTATAATAGTAATCAAACGAGACAATATAAAACCTTTCTTCATTAAACAATAAATATTACGCGTTGGGTTCTACCACTTTATGGTGATCCTTCTCCTCGTATACTCTGTTCCACGTAAGAGTGAACCACTCGGCTGACCAAAACACGTTTCTTCCGAGCATTCCCACCACAATCCGGGCATCGGTGAGAGTATTAATAAGGGGGCCCGACGGCCGGCGATGGCTGTCCGCTAATCACAGAACGCATAGCCATCACACGGGGGGGGGGGCAGGCACTGTTCGGCGGCTCAGTCTGCGTGCGCGAAAGCGATTCACTCTTATGTGGAACGGAGTATAGTTTATTATTATTGATTTATCGTACATGTTAAGGTGAATCTCTGCTGTTTTTTGAATGAATATTTAAAATATACCAACAGTATAACTGAGTCACCGGTGAATGTTAGAAGTAGTAACTTTGATTTTCATAATAATTAATTATGATAATTATCAGTTGTTGCTCATCAATGTTTGTCTGTATGGAGGTTAGAGAGACGTGTGTGAGAGTATTATAGCTAGTTTATACTAGTACCTAACCTAACATAACGTTAAAACCTAACGATCAAAATAGAGCAGGCACAAAAAGTAACAAACTGAACGAATGCTACGTTTATCTAGATAACAGTTTACTCCAGCCAAACCTAGTGATACTGCAATGCTTATTCGAATCCTCCATGTTGACCAAGGGCGTATAGATCTTTAGTCTGTGGACCACAGAATATATTGGCAGTTGTCGTAGTTGTCAATAGTGAATTTTACACACTATAGGCACAAAGGTTAGGGTGTGATAAATCCGTAATCAATTTACTGTAAGTAAAGAAAAGCTATTTATCTCCTAAATAAGTTACTACTAGGCAGTCTGTGTCCTCAAGGAAAGCTTTCAATACAATTTATCCAATCAGTTGGATACTTGAGATGTAATTTATTTAAGATAAAGTGTGTATCCATATTATCATTAGGTATGTATCACATATCACATTTCTAAACAGTGAAAACGCTTCAATCTTCAACTTTGTTGATAGTTTGTGATAAAAAACTGATTGGTAAAAGGTAAAAGCAAAAAATTCTCAGTACTTTTCAAAATCAGGAAACATTGTATAAAAAAAATTTTTAAAAAAACGGGAATACTCATAGGAAGTTTCAGTTTTTAAAAAACTTAATTTTGGTTACTGTAAATCAATATAAAATAACATGGAATCTAAAAAAATATTCACTTAAGTCTTAAATTCAAATATATTTTTTATGGACTTTGAAGTTCAAATTTTGAAGACGGTCATAAAGATTTTCTACAGTCTTTTTTTTGTTATTTTGTAATACTTAAAAAAAATTATTAATCGTAAAAACTTGAAACATTCCACTATTATGATTGAAATAAATATCTTCTATACATAATGACGATTTCAAAATATTTAACTAGTTTTAATCTTTTTGTAGGCATATTTTGTTAAATTTAAGAAAATATTATTTTTTATTAAATTGTTAAAATTATTTTTGTCATTTAAATAACCATCTATCGTTAAACCTTTTGCTTTAATTGAAATATTCTCAATTATTGGTTTTCGTCAAAATCAGTCGAGGTATTTACATCAACCAATGACTTTGCCTCCATCAAATAATAGCAGTCAGCAACTGT